TGGAATAGGCAGTATTTGGCATTGTCGGCTGCCTACCAGCTGAGGAGTCCCTCATAGTATGGCTGTTCCCAGCCAGTTTTGAGGAATTCACTTGCATTCTCCAGAGTTTAAGTCTCAACAAGGGTTTCGGGCAATTTGTTCTACACTGGGCCTCGGTAATATTTAACATAGTTTTGCAAATGTCAAATGACAGAAGTTTAAGCACTCACGGTCAGGCACTATCTGAAAAGCAGGTTGGAAAAATGTTGGGGATAAGCAATTGGATCGTTTAAAGATTGTAGCCTGAACACCAAATCACGTTCTCAGAACATAATGTAGGACAGATGTTTGCTACATTTCTTACAGCTCCATATCAGAAGTCTAGGATGCAAGACTAGAAGGGACTTTCTGAGCTGTTAATTCCAGTCGCACTGATGTTGCGGATAACTGACTTAGATTGTTCCTTTTCAATTCATAAAATGTCCTCTTAAAACAAATTTATATTTCTTGTCACAATAGGTTGTTTTCAAACTTTGGCCAAGCACTTTAAACTTTATTTACAGCTGCTGTTGCTTTGCTAAGGAAGTGTGTTAAACAGAAGTACAGAATATAACATTCCTCAGTAACAAGAGTCATCTTGTCGATAAACATGAATTATCTTTCACCATAGAAAATCAATATTATCTTTTTCTCTGAGTACACAAAAGGATTCCTCACCGCAGTTTACACCACACAAACATTGAGAGTCTACAGCCAGGAAGACCTCTCCTAACTGTCCTTGAACAAGGGAAAGCAGGAAGGAGAATAGCAAAATTTTAGACATAAAAAAATAGATAAAATCAGTCTTTTATTCTCTTTTTAACCACTCCATGTTTAATCACATATTTTTTTTAACCAGTAGAAGTAATTCAAAGACCTTGTAATGCCATGGATCACAGGTTGAAAGCCGTGTTAAAGTAAAGCAGCAGTATCTTAGCCAAAAATCAGTAATTTCGAAGCTTTGTCGAGGAGGCTTGTGGACGGATGTCATGATTTAAGCCCAGTCAACAACTAAGCACCAAACAGCCACTCACTTGCTTCCCTCACACCCAGTGGGATGGGGGAGAGAATTGGAAAAAAAAAAAAAGTGGAACTCATGGGTTAAGAACAGTTTAATAGAACAGAAAGGAAGAAACTAATAATGATAATAATAACAATAATAAAATGACAATACTAATAAAAGAATTGGAATATACAAAACAAGTGATGCAAAATGCAATTGCTCACCACTCGCCGACTGATGCCCAGTCAGTTCCCAAGCATATAGTCTAAACAGAAGGTCAGTTTGTTGCCTTTGTTCAATCATGAGAACTCAGCATTTACCTCCCGCATTTTAATGGCATGCTTTGTAGTTTTAATTTAACAGGAGAAAGGAATAATGCAAATATTTGCATTCCTGAAGAGGTATTGATATTTAATATTCAGAGTAACCATAAAGAGAAACCCTCCATAAAGTTCACAGGCCTTATGCACTCAAAATATTAATAGTGAAGAATGGTATTCTATCTGCCTATCTGTCCTAGCGCTAATGAAAGGGATAATATATAAAGCATAATGAAGCATCATTCCAAAGCAAGTGGTTAGCTAGTCTATATTTTAAGTACCCTCTTTTGCTTCATTTACTTCAATTTCATGTGCTTCAGTTAGATCCCTAGAAATAAGTAAAAAAATCTAGTTTAGTCATTCACTTGCAATTATAAAAATATTTACAGAGGTTTGCCATTGGACCATTATTATTTAAAAATGGAATATGACTAAACTGCCATAGGCTTTAAGTGCTGTTATAATAATCAGATCCACTGGTACCCAAGTGATCTGCTTTTTCTTGAGACATAGTCATTGTCCCTGCAGTTTAAAATCAATGTTTACTTAACAAAATCCTCCTTTCACAGAGCCTGGGATGTTCAGGCAAGTTGTTTTCTGGTCTATTTTCTTAACATATGCTGTGGGATTTCATGCCATACTTCCCACTTTGAGGACAAATCTTTTATGGAAATCAGAGAAGCTAGGCTGTTGCACAGGATAACCTTAACCTTTATAGTAATTGCTCCACATACTCTGCTTGCACGATTGCCAGTTTGTTCATCTGAAAAAAGTCTCTTCCATGACATCTCAGTGATGGTTTACAACCAGTTCTCCTGAAAGTGGGTGGCAGTAACCTCATATTTGCATTTCCTTCTGAAGGAACAGGGAAATGAAGCAAGGATGGCAAGGTCTGAACCTAAGCCATGTCAAATGGATATTCAGGGTAGCTAGAGGACCTTTTTTTTTCCTCAAAAGTTTTTGTTGCTCTAGAAAGACAAAATATTTGATCTTTTCTTATTTTTATTCAGCCAGTTCTCTGATGTAAAATGATATAAAATTCTGCTCCAAAATGGCTAGATATGGCTTTTCCAATACAGTATATATTAGTATACACTTTATCCCATAATCAAGGTACATGTTTTCCTGTAGCATAACTTCCTCCTTTTTTTAGAGGTGATACAAGACATGAGTATTTATCAGCCGTATCATCTCTGACACTATTTCAGAAAACTACTGACTGCTCACAGTATTAAAATATTACTCCAGTGATATTGACTGGCTAGCAAAATCATGAATTTCCTTTAGCTGGCACCGATGCACTGAATGATGATTATACAATATGTGACCTTTTCAATGCTTATAAATATTATACATGCTTTTACAGAAGTTAGTTTCAATGTTGTGTCAAAATATTTACTTACTTATTGTGGATTGGGGCTTATAATGAGCTAAAGGATCCTGCCTCATTCATCCAAAGTAATTGAAGGCATAATTGACTGAAAGCAATTTCGACGAGCCACCTGTATGAAGGAGCATTTGTTGAAATTGCCTTTTCCCTGTAAGCAATTATCAGATTTGTTACTGACAGTATCACATTGAGCTTCATTAACCAACAGGTCCTGAATCCTGCAAAACTGAACGTGCTTAATTATAATCCCAGCCTACTAGGCTTACTATTGCAAATGCATCCTAACCATAAAAATTAAACTTATTAATTGCAACTTTAATGCTGAATGAAGCAATAGCTGAACTAGATTTTTCCAGTTTGCCTTTGGCATGGAGATTGTGAGGCTGGACAGGGAAACACTATAATTATTGACAACTGAAAGGAGTTTTTGTCATCTTTTTAATATCCCTGAAAACTGAGATGTAATATTGTACTAGTTGACAACTTCATATTGCAGCACTCTCACTGCTAAACAATAATTTTGTGGGCAGTAGAACTACTGAATCTGCAGATGGGATTTAGCTGGCAGATTAAGACATCTATACTTAAGTGGCTATGTGTAGGTGTGTACTAGGTGTCCAAATCACATTGCAGTCAACAAAGCTCACTCAATACAGGGAACTCTACAGCTGTTCAGCTGACCAAGTATCTGACTAGCTCCAAGAATATCATCGGTTTTCTCTTGTTAGGGGCACAAATTTCCATTTCTGCTCTCTGTCTAGTCAGTAATTTTCATGTCATTTTAGAATGCATACCTACAATGAATTAGATGCCACTAAGCAAAGCAATGCTAAGAAATAATCCTGAGCACTGGCACCTGGTTGCTGTGTTTGCATGGGTCCTGGCTTGCTGTTGGCCTGGGACAATTTGCACGCTCCCAAACAATTCCTGGGCATGATCTGAGAGTTAACATGGACCAAAGACCATTACTAAGAGACCGTTTGGTTGTGGCTGCCTGGTTTTGAAAGTTAAAAACCTCTAATAGTATGGCATGGCTTGTCTATGCACTTGTGCCTATGGGCACAGTGTTAAGTTTAGCTACAGCCAGTGAAATCTGTCTTTTTTTGTCAAACATACTAAGTCGAAGAGTGGGTTCAAACGTTGTTAAGGTAAATAGTGGCTGCCAAAAATAGATGTGCAGATGAAAGGTGACTAGATATGATGATAGCATTTAAACCAGGCTAACAATACACTAGCTGAGGTAAACATGACTCAATTATACTAGCCTAAAATCATGTAAGTAAAATCTGGGGCACAAACACCATTGCATGTTTATATAAAAGTGGGCTACCATGGTTTCTTCTCGAAGGTCATACCTGAGACATTTCAACCACACTCCTGCCCCAGGACTTGTGTGTTTGCCATGGTGATTTAGTGCATTCTGTCACATTCACAGATGGCAAGGGCATGCCAATAGACCCTCCTTTATTGAAGACTACCTGGGCAACCTAAACATTGTCAGCCTCTGTTCTGCTGCTGTCAGAATCTGCCACATTTGTGCTCTGAAAGAGGGAGTGTGTATCTCACCGCGTGCTCAGGCGAGGTCTGGTGTAGCTCCTGAACCCTGCCTAGGAAATGTATGGGATGGTGCTCATGGATCCAAGCCCGAACAGCTTCAGGGACCATTCTAACACTTCAGCAGTGTAGGCAAAAATCAAATTCCAGTGCAAAGCCATGTTCCCCAGCACTGTTGGATTCACTAATACAGGTGCAGTTTTTGAGAACGTGTTCATTCAAACAGGATTCACTGTCTTTTACTAACCCTCTGCACATGAAATGTATTTTAAGTCAGTACAGTGCAACACGTAATGCCCCATTGAAGTGCAACAGTGTGTTGTGTCAGTGGAGCTCTGAACTGAAATCTTTGCTAAAGCTCTTTGGAGGTGACTTCCAAAGCCTTAGGAAATGACCTTTGGTCAGAGGACTTGTAATGTATCTTTTTATTCTGTAATAAAATCTGCAAATTAAAAAACTTCTGACTATATTAGGGAAAGGTTAAAATGCTCTCAGCTTATGTCCACACCACAAAGACAACCCAGCATGTGTAGTGTGAGTTAACGCAGAACCTGAAATGCAAAAAGTAAATTTCATAAATGCTTAAGTTAACATATCTGTTTCAGGAAGCACCAAAGAGTAGGTACCTGCTGCCTCAAGTTGGCTCCAGTCTGATGGTTCTTTATCATATGCCATTCCACGCTGTATATAAGACCTTCATTGCTTTGCTTTGCAGATCATTCACTGAATTCAACACCCCTATCTGTGAAGCAACATGGTTTTGAAGATGAACCAGGAATTCTCTCTCATAGGTGAGATTTGACTTTTTTTTTTCCTTTGGTTACTGATCGCATAAATAAATAAATAAATAAATGAAGTCGTTCTGGTCAGCTTTACAAAACAGATACAGGGGCAGCCCCTTAAATCCAGGGTGCTCTTATTAAAGTGCACAAGTCATGCAGAGTAAACCTCTTTGTTACAGTGTAACAGGACTTGATTCTGAGTTGCAAACCTTGTTCGTTTCTCACATTGCCTTCTTATGGCTCATTAAACAAATGATTCCTATCCCTAAACTTTTTCATACCCAATTCTGAAATTCTATAAAATAATTGATGGGAGCAGTCTAGGAGTCAAATGAATTGTTCTTCTGGAGCTTTCTCACTTTCTTTTCCCAAAACTCTGCTTAGGGTCTTTATGCATATTGAAATAACTTTTTTAAATCTTGGGGAAAAAAAAAAAAGAAAAAAAAAAGGCATCAAATCCCCTTACAAAAGATCCTGTTGTGAATCATAAAGGATACAAAAAAGAATTTAATCCAACTATCTTTAGTAATGTCTAGAAGTGCTGCTCTGCCTGCATTGCAAATATTACATTATTCTTCATGGGTGTGGATTTGTTTGGTAGAGGATCATCACAAAATTAAAGTCAATATCTGTAAAGCTATCTCCTGAAACTTGTTTTCATTATTGATGTATTTATGACACTATGTTAAGCGTAGTCATAGGGAAGCCTGGCACAGAAAATAAACATTTTGCAAGAAAACTTTATAACCTTAAAAATCTTTCCTTTCCTCTTGGGTCAGCTGCTCCCCTTCCATTCACATATGAAATAACTTTCAAACGTATTCGTTAGTAGTTTTTCCAAAGAGCAATCAGAAGAAGCATAGATATATTCAGAGCTGAAATGCCTCAGTATGCCCATATTGGCACATCTACACTCCCTTTTTTTTGACAATTCTCTAGAAGTGCAGTTGAGAAACAAAATATAGCCTGAAACTGATTTTTCTCCAACATCAACCTGATTCAGAATCAGGTTTTGACTTGGATGTATTTTGTCAGTTATGTTAATAACATTTGATGGGCTTTATATTTAAGATACTGTGGTGGTGTGCTTCCCCCAATCTGACCTGTATTTCCCATAACCCTGCTCAAGTGATAACCACCAGCGGTGGTCGTAATGGATGCGTCTGGTCGTGATGGTTGCATCTCCCTCAAAGTGGATTTGGGGGAGACAGGTAACAAAACAACAGCCAAGGGCTAATTTGAGCAATGCACCCACCTAACCACAGTGCTGGTCAACGGCTGACTCAAGCCAAATTTGGAAGAAGATAACATCTGTAGTAGTAAATATGACTATGAGTCAATTATCTTACTCCATAACTAGTGGATAGCCCAAGGCCCATTGAGCTCTCCTGCACGGCAGTGGGCTGCATGCCAGGATCTCTCCTTGAGTAGGGATGCCTCTCAAGGTTATTCCTCGAGGTCGAGAGATTCCTTGCCTCAACAGATTCTCGGTAAGTGATTCACAGCATGCTAAACTTTGAAATCTTAGCTAAGTGATACAGAGGATTGATTGCGCATGTATAATCCTTTAGACATAAACCATTGACCAAGTCTGGGACTAGGAATGGACCCAGCCACACCTAGACTCCTCTCTAAGAAGAAGTTTAGAAAGCAAGGGAGGCCATTCTGAACCTTGTGACTCAACGGGAGGGTGTCAGTTTTGTCTGACCCTGTCCTCTATGCAGTAAATACCAAGTGAACCTTGCCACCAAATCTTGTTAAACCACTGCCACATTTACTATCAAACTTTGTTAAAATGCTGTTTTATAACAATAAACACATTGCTACTTCTCTCTTCCAAGTGAAGTGTGTCACTCCATCCATGACAGATGCATTAATGTTTTTTTGTGGAAAATTTGGTTCAATTAGAGAAAAACCTCCAAATCTAAAGGGAGGTGAAAATATTAATTTAACTGTTAAATCACCTTTTAATTAGAAGCAGTAAAGTACCTCTGAAAGAATCCTTGGCTAAGGCAACACAAATTCAACAACTCTTTTCCTTTTCTCATTTGGTTATTGACTAAATAATTGTAAGGTATGATTTGGTTATTTTTAAGTCAGGGGAAAATATTTTTATATTAGGAATTCTGCCCAAGAAAAATTCCACCAAAGAACTGTTTTGTTTGGTGAAGAAAGAATGAATGAGAAATCAATTGATAGATGACTAATGTCATCTATCTTGACTTCTATAATGCCTTTGACATGATCCCACACAACATTCTGGTTGCTAAATTGGTGAGATATGGGTTTGACAGATGAACTGTTAGATGGATAAGGAACTGACTGGATGGCCACATCCAAAGAGTTAAAGCCAATGTCTCAATGTCCAAGTGGAAATGATTAATGAGTGGTGTCTTTCAAGGGTCTGTACTGGGATCAGTACTATTCAGTATCTTCATCAGTGACACAGTGTGATCGAGTGCACCCTCAGCAAGTTCACAGATGACACCAAGCTGAGTGGCGCGGTTGATTTGCTAGAAGGAAGGGATGCCATCCGGAGAGACTTTGACCGCTCGAGGAGTGGGCCTGTGCAAACCTCATGAAGTTCGAGAAGGCCAATTGCGAAGTCCTGCACCCAGGTCAGGGCAATCCCCAATACCAGTACAGACTGGGGGAGTCTGCCCTTCCACTCCACCTTTGTGAGACCCCACCTGGAGTACTGCATCCAGCCCTGGGGTCCGCAGTACAAGAAGGATGTGGACCTGTTGGAGCGGGTCCAGAGGAGGCCATGAAGATGATCAGAGGGCTGGAACACCTCTCCTGTGAAGGCAGGCTGAGAGACTTGGGGTTGTTCAGCCTGGAGAAGAGAAGGCTCCAGCGAGACCTTATAGCAGCCTGCCAGTACCTAAAGGGGGCCTACAGGAAAGCTGGTGAGGGACTTTCTACAAGGGCAGGTAGCGATAGGACAAGGGGTAATGGCTTTAAACTGACAGAGGGTAGATTTAGTTTAGATGTAAGGAAGAAGGTCTTCACTGTGAGGGAGGTGAGGCACTGGAACAGGTTGCCCAGAGAAGCTGTGGATGCCCCATCCCTGGAAATGTTCAAGGCCAGGTTGGATGGGGCAACCCAAACCTTTCTATGATTCTAAATTAAAAATTACGCAACCGCTTACATTCAGGCAAAGAATCAGTATCCTTCATCCATCGATCAATCAATCAGTTGATAAATCAGCGTAGGACAAGCTGTAGAAATGCATACAGATTCCCAAGGCACTTTTATGTTTTTGAAAAGTAGTCAATATTTAGTGACTAAGCAAAATTTCCCTCCTAATTTCTTTGTCCTTTGACTTTAAAAGATCATAATAAGAAATTTTCAGTACCAAAAAAGCAATACCTGCTGTTGGTCATCAGCTGTAATAATCTTTTCTTGAGAATACTAATTAATTTCACCCAATGAAAATGAGAAAATGATTTAGAACTTATTTAACCATAGTTAAAGGAAGGCGAAGCATATAAGTATACCCTGAATTTGCAGATTCTGTTTCAACACTACTGTCAGCATTCCCTAGAGTCATTATCTGTCCATTATAGCAAATTATATTGAAGATAGGATTTAAGATGCTAGACACTTGCTATGCAAGCCAAAAAAGAATGTCTTCTAGCAAAACCCATGAGTTTGATTACAAAGCAGCTAATCCCAATTTACATCAAATGACCTGATTGAAAACTATCAGATTTATGTAAAGCTTCTGATAATTTTTAAAAGCTTTGATTAAGTTTATAAATGGGAACTACACCTTTGGTCAGATGATAATGAACTTCTAAAAATGGCAATGGATGTGTAGAGGAGAAATAGTAGTTGTAACTGGCTATTAGATGAATAGAGATTATTGTAATGTGTTTATTCTGCTGTGGACTCTGGCCTCACTCAGCAGCAAATCCATCTTCTCTCAGCGCTTAAAGGTAAAACTGGGTGTAGTAAGTCTTTGGATAAAATAAATATAAATAATAGTGAGACTATATTTGCTGTTATGGTAACTAAAGTGGAAAATATCTATTTTTTTTGCAAAAAATCAAGGAGCAGAAGAATCTTGTTTGTCAATTATTAAATTTAAAATGAAGAGGCACTTTCAAGGAACCAATAATACCTATAATAAAAATAATGTTTTTCAATTTTTAATTTCCTTCAGAAATGGTGATAGAAAGATCTATAGAGAAAATGAACTTTTAAGGTATTTTTATAATATTCATCAGAAAAAATAGTTTTTACTTTTCAAAATGCTGAAGATAAGATAATAAAGAGAAAATCAATGAAAGCTTTGTCTTACTTAATTTGCTTGCAAGACACTCCACATAGTCCTTGTTTATGGATCCTAAACATAGGATCCATCTTTTTTTTTACACTGTTTTTTGAAATCTCTCTGAAGAACGGCAATAATTTTCCCAAATTAATTTTGCCAATATGACACACTTTAGATCAGAATTATTCTCCCCAGAGATAAGCAAATGCTTTAGTTCAGTCCCAGTCTGTTGGTTTTTTTCCTATTGAGATTATCAACAGTGTGTTAGTTATGAAGTATCTTTTTAATGTTGATTCCTCTTTGTACAGAGACAAAAAATATTTAACCTGTGTCAAGAGACAGGTCATACTTTCAACTATGTGTTTCCATTTCTTACCTTGCTTTTTGGAACAAGGCTACCTATGGAGTCTCAGGTATGTGATCCAGAAGTAATAGCCCATTACTTTTCATTATTACCATGAAAACAACATTAGATCACCTTAAAATTTTCTCTTGGCAAAAATATGACTTAAGTAGATAAGACGTAAGCTTCACAATTTTTTGTGGAGTCATACATGTGTATTATGTTTACATTTTTGATTTTGATACTACAGACTAAGTTGAAACAACAGTGGCAACTAGCTATTACTGCCAGTTTATTTGTGTAAAAAGCGTAGACCTCATCAAAAACATAGACAACATCACAGATAAAAGGAGTTGGATAAAATTACTTGGAGTGGAGCAGGACACAGCAACAGAACTGACACCTTAAGTATTATTACAGCATTCCTGTAAATATGGATGTCTACATCTGAAGTAGTTACTTGATTTCTCTTTGAAGTGAATGAGAAGAAGGCAGCATTATAATGAGGTGATTCATACTGGAGACTTTAGTATTTGCTGTAGGATGAGATGAACTGAAATCTGGAAACACCCATTTCCTCTTTTGACCACAATAGGGAGACTAGTAGGCTTTCAAACTGATTTTCACTTGTTTGCCAGAAGAGGAGGAACACTACCTTCAAGGCTTACTTCAATGACCTACTTTGCAAGCAAATAACTTGAAGAGTAGTATCTAAGTAGAGAGCAATTATTCTCTGGTGCTTGCATCTGGATCACCTAGGAAAAGGACAAAAGTTTAAAGAACAAGTTGGTTTTTTATCTATGGTAGAAATTCCATTGAACACCAGTCTACTAACTATAAATTAAATATATTCACAAATACGTATATACATAGATACTTCAGTATATACACATATATGCAGTTTACTTTTTTCTCTTTACTGACATTTTAAAGAGGAATTTTTGCCCTTTTAACTGAAAAATTTTTATTTCAAACATTACTTTTCTCACAAAATTTAACCACAAAAGTTGACAAAAAAAACCCAAAACACATTTTCAAGAGTATTATTGAAAAGGTCCTTCTAACCTTCCAGGTTGAACATCATCCTTAATTGCCTTAATGTGGAGAATAGTTCCTTCCTAAACCTGCTTTTTTCTGGAAATGGGCACAGCTCACTGCAAAGTTACATGCAGCAAAAAGACATGAACCCTCATGGCAAGAAACTTTTTCCTCATGTGGGAAACTTCTGAATGAACAAGTGACATGATTTAGACTCTTCATTTTTGCTTTTTTATTCTCCAGCTAGGAATAAAGAAAAATCACTAAAAAAATCACTACATCGGTATTCTCTACAACTGCCAATGTCACTGCTTATGAAAAACAAGGAAACCAAATTTAAAAGGAGATACTATCATCAGTTTCAGTAATGTGGTGCTCCTAAGATATAGGAATAGGTACAAAGTAGGACTAAATTAGCAGTGTAGTCACTGAGGTGGAAAAGGAACATCAAATATCCTGGCTGACATCTTGCTTGTTTGGATGAATGAGCTGCAGAGGTATGGACTCAACGGAAGAATTCTGGAGTCATATAGTCCAACCTCTTATTAATTGCAGAATTGAGCAGCATTTTTCTCAATGAGAAAAATCAGACTCTGACCCAGCTCTCAGAGTTCTTTAATAAGTTTTTTATAAGGCATTAATAAGGCATGACTTCTGTCTGAAAAGTAATATGTTTAGTAAGATAACGATATTAAACTTCTCCTATTTCCATTTATACAGAAATATCATCAACATACTTGATATCTGAAGATCTTCAAAGATATTTAAGGTCACCATTTTATGTAGGAAACATAATATGGTGGAAATCAAGATTTGATAACCAGAATAGTAATGTTGGAGATTGGACCAGATGACTTCTAAAGGTTCCTTTCCAATCCAAACCATTCTAAGATTCTATGATTCTGTATTTTAAACTAATAGCCTCTACTACCTGGATAAGAGTGTTCAATCCTTCAAGGGATTCATAAAAATGCCACAACTTCTATTATTCTAGTCTTTCATTTTAGCTGAACTCAGTGCAAAGCATGCTTTTAAGTTTTGATCAATGACTTTGAGAGAGGAATACATAAATTGTGTCTATTTTTAAGTACAAACTTGGTATCTACAAAGTCAGTGCAAGGAAAATGGAGTCTGTCTTTGCTTAATCACCTAAGAAAATTGTTTCAATAAATGTCTGCAGCTTCAGACTGTTATATGATTAGAGCTAGGAGGTGTTTTAATAGATTGGTCCATTACAACATATTGGTCCATATGGACCATACATAACAAACAGCCATCTGTGTTTTAAATTAATTAAATGGGTGTTGGCACCCACTTTGTTTAACTGTGAAAATATTTTGCAAATATAAAATGGAACTTAAATGGAATTAGGTGTTATATTTTAAAAGTTCAGTTCTCCAACTCCTCTAGTTAACTGTATAGTAATTTCAGAGCAGTAGCTGTCTCTGTTTTGCAACAATAAAATTCCCCAGAGCCTGGTACACCATAATTTTTTACAAATGAGCACATAAGCATTCGTTTCCTGCCTAGGTTCAGCTTTGACTCACAAAGATGATGCTCCCTTGCCTGTGTCATTTGAAGAAGCAGACCTCGCCAGCACCCTCTGAATGTGCCTTATGTGTATCACGGAGACTGGATTCCACAGTGAAGCCTGGCTGCTGTTTTGATGTAAAAAAGTGAACATCAGCAACAGAAGCTCCTGGATGCAGCTAGTAATATTCCGCCTCCCTGTGACACTTCAGTGGCTAAAATATGTACAAAAAATGTGGAAGGAAAGGGCTGAGTTTCTTTTCTTCCTACATGGTAGTTAAAAAATTTGGTCTTTTCAGACAGGACCTCGGCACGAACAACTTTCTGCTTTTGACTTCTGGTTTCACTTCCATCCCTGTGTCCCCTTACAAACCTGTCCCTTGTTGCTTGCTCAATGCCTGACTGAAGTGAAAGGGATTCAGCATTGCAGTGAGGATGAATAAATTAATATCAACAAGGTGCTGAACAGAGTGGTGATGGTTGTTAGGAAAGAAACTGAAATATGGATCATTAGCCAGGACTTCCTATTTAATTGTGAAGTTTGGTTAATCTTTAACAATCTTCTCCTTTCTGGAAGTGGTGCTTTTTTTTATGTCATTGTAATTTTTACCTCCTTGTAGCTGTATTATACTATATACTATAGGTAATTACTCTATATAGCAACAAACTACTGTATATACATATATGTATCTATACGGAGAAAGAGGGAGACCGAGAGAGATGTATTTGGTGACAACTAGTAGAATTAACTAACTCAAATGTTTTTTCAGCAGTATGTAGCACAGTGAAGTCTGGTTGAATGGTTGTTGGAGATAAATATACCTCTAGAAGACTGAAAACAAAGGGTTCCTGCTAAAGGGGCCTGAGAAAACTGTGATTTTCCCAGGTCTAAAGTGAAGAATTCAGATCTCCTGAAACCCTACCAGGCAGCAGTGAAGCCTCACTGATACACGTCCTTAGACCAACTACATTTTCTTCCAAACTGAGATCAGTCCCTTTTTCAATGAAGTGAACATATAAGTCCACATACAGTGATCTGGGTTTTGTCATAAAGAGAAATGTCAAACAGCTGTAGAAGCCATTTTAAGCTAATTTTTTTACTACTCAATACTTAATTAGGAAGGAAAGACAAGTCTTCAAGCAGTATCAGTCTCTACCATGTAGGCTATATCATGCACCCCACTGTGCATGCACACATACAAATACAGATGTTCATGAACACTTGCATTCACTTGAAATAGCATGTTTGCAACTGTTAGTGATTTCTCTAAGGCTGTTGTGGCATCTTAAATCTTTTCCTATGCCTTGTAGCAGAGCTGATTTGAGACGTCTTAGGTAAAATTGCATTTTTTGACTGTGACAGAAAAAGCGTGAAGGTTTTTATGGAGATAGATGTGTTGATGAGTCACAAGAAGGATCAGTGGGGTTCTGGAGGATGAAGAAGTGGGTTTGAAGGAAGCTCCAGGGATGTGAAGGGGGGCATAGGGATGAGACCAAGAAGGGCCGATGAAGATTTGAAGAGCAGTAAACAATTTCAGAAAGTTATTTCTTGGAGAAAAACAGCTTTCCCCTCTTCTTATCTTTCATTAACCTCCCCTTGACAGCTGACCAGACCGTGAGGTTGTGGTGGAACTGCAGCATGCTCTTCCACTGCCAGTCTCCTTCTCCCCCAAAAGCACCTTCTATCTCGCACATTCTCATATAGAACTGTAGAATCATAGAATGGTTTGGGCTGGAAGGGACCTTTAAATATCATCTAGCTCCAAACCATATGCCGTGGGCAGGGGCACTTTTCACTAGATCAAATTGCCAAAGCCCCATCCAACATGACCCTGAACGTTTCCAACAGTGGGGCATCCACAACTTCTCTGGGCAACATGTTTCAGTGTCTCACCACCCTCATTGTAAAAAATGTCTTTTTCATATCTAGTCTAGCTCTACCCTCTTTCAATTTAAAACTATTTCCCCTTGTTCTGTCAGTACAGGCCCTGGTAAAAAGCCTCTCTCTGCCTTTCTTCTAAAAGATCCCATGTAAATGGACCTCTGGACCCACTCTAACAGGTCCATGTATTTCTTGTACTCCAGGTGGGGTCTCATGAAAGCAGAGGGGGAGAGTGACCTCCCTCGACCTGCTGGTCACCCTTCTTTTGATGCAACCCAGGAGACAATTGGCCGTGATTGACTTCCTGGGACTCCTGGGCTCCCATCACTCCAGTAAAGAGTGGGAAGGGATCTGTCTGGTCCTGCCTTAGGGCAATGGAATGGGGGAGAGGGGTTGTAGGCAGAGCCTGGAGCAGCCCTGGGGAGTTGGGCTCAGGGCAGGAGAAGGCATGGGAAGGATAATGGCAGTGCTGGGAGGGACTCTTCCCCCTTCTGCACTACCGTCCACCACTCAGAAACAGATTGATCTCAGTGGCAAGAGCAGTGAGGCTCTTTGAGTTGAGCTGTGCAGGCAGGAGACAGGCGTTAGCATTTCAGATGGTGCAGCTTGCTCAAATAACCAGGCCTTGTAACCTCTAGTATAGGAAAAGTAGTACAACTATTTTGTTCCAGCAGACCACTTTCCAAAGTAAATCCTTACTTTGCCAGCTATAAAAGCCACTTCTCAAGAATTCTGTTAGGATAAAACACAAGCCATAGAAATATGTCTCCAGTCACTTGCTCTACTGTAATGCAGCAGAAAGAGAAGGAGACATTTGGCTCAGAGTTCAAATTCTAATTTTTTTCCCCATAATCTCTACCTCCAACCAGTTCAGGAGGCTGAAAACCTTCTTGGGCCTGATAAACTTTAAAATCTACTCCAGTTTGGCTGTTATGCACTGGGATTTTATCAACTGCATAATAAGAAAAAAATTACCCCGGGAAGTTTCACTGTGTTCAGGTCACAGGCTGGAACTGACGGCAAACATTGCTCCAGGCTCCTGGTCTGACCTGGTGAAATAGGTGAGCTCAGCCCTGTAACTGTCCTCTGAGGTGAATTTTGCCAACGATAAAAATTTGGGCAAAGGGGAAAGATGGTTGTGTTAGATTTTTCATATTGCGCCTCAAAGTGTAAGATGTGGAAAACTTAGAATATGGAGTAACAGGAGACAAGTAAGGACAGAAGGTCACTCTCGTACCTCAGCCAAAGTTAAAAACAACAGTAAAAGTCAACATCTGGAACTATTTCATGTCTGATTCTTTTAGATGGAGGAAGCTGAGCTCCTAGGCCTAGTAAGTCACATGCCAAAAAATTCACATGTCCAGCTTTACATCATGGGATGAAGATATGGATGTGTAGCCGGATACCTGGACAATTTGGAAGCGGTAGCTTCAGCAGCTCCCACCAGTTCATTTGCTTTCACAAGAACCAGATTACCCAGCAGTTGCTCAGCCACCACAAACCCATGGCTGGTTATGTGATGTCTCCATCACTGAGTGCTGCTCTGGGACACTTTGCAAACTGCTCAGGAGCCATAGGGTGACAGCTCAGGCAGCTGATGGGTTTCTTTTAAAAAGGTCTCAGAAGATCTGTTGTAAGACCCCTGTTTCAAACTCCATCTATCCATCGATGTCTTCAAGCCTCAGTCCACCTTCTTGCCTGACCATGCTTCCTTGGCCACTGAAAACCAGAACACAGCTATCCAACACTGAAAACTGAAGTTGTGGAAGCAGAATTGAAATAAAGCTTAAATAACAAACAAACCCAAACAAATGCAAAAGATCTAGTGTGGAATGTCCTATTCATTATTGTTCACTTCATACGAAAGGTTTCCATTTCTTATTTGAATCGCATTTTGATTCAAATTCTGCCAAAGTCATCAACGTAAACTCATTTCTGTCTTCATGAAAAGTGTGGAGACTAAGGCCTCTGATACACAGACAACCTGGATGGATGTCTTTAAAAGCCATGAAGTTTTTAAATTCTTTCAAGTCACTGTTAGGACACTAAAAATAATGTCCAAGAAAGCTCTGAGATGAAGTCATTCTTAGTTATCCATTACTCAGGGATTACTGGGTTAAGTGCAATGGTGTGGAATAAGAAAATGTGTATACAAAGTGTACTCTTACGTTGTTTTATGCCACACGATCATGCTTAATCCTCTGTTCACTAAACCACACTGTAAAAATAAATTGACATAAAATGAAATATATTCTGGAAAGAAGTAGGAAGTTCCTCCTGACTGACAGCGGCTTGCAATGCCAGGGCTTGTTCTATATTCATACTTACAAAATGCAGATTATATTTCTCTCATGCTGGCAAGCCAATAACTAAGCTTCACTGCTTTTGGCATTCACTAGGTTTTTGTCATACCTCCCTAATATGCCTTAAGGGTACTTGTTGATACCAAGAATTGAAACAAAGCTTATGCTTTCGGTTGCCAAGTCACTTCAGCCAGATGGAAACATAAATCTGGAGCCAGAAAATATTATTGCTGTTATTTGAATTTGGAATGTACAATGGTGGCTTTGTCTTTACCATGTAAATGTTTCTTCTTATCGTGGAAAAGTCTAATGTAAGAAAAGATGTATCTCATTAAGACTTTCTTTGTTGCTGTCCTAACAAGGTGGCTTGAAAATGTTGTAAGGTCTATAACCTAGTTCTGGTAAATAAATGACCATATTCCTTTATGGAATTTACTTCCTCTTCAGCTGAGGGAGGAATAACAATGAGTAATGGTTGTAAGATGAAGGCAGGCAAATCACAGCAGAGCAGTGCACATGTATTTACCAGAGAAGGTTGAACATCCCTGGGAGTTCGTCTTGGTGCCTTTAAATCAAGACAGGATGTCTCTCAGGAAGATCTATTCCCATGCAATTTGAAAGTGTTTCAGTATAATACTGTTGCATCTGGACAGGATATTATTGCTGTATTGTACAAAAGATGTTAGGAGTTGTAACCATCTCAGTTGGCTTTATAAATCTATGAAATTCTACAGCCAATAGCAAAGGTCATAATTTGTTGCGATTGTGCTCAGGACATCTTTAAAATAGCAGTACATTTTGTATTTTTTTATAAATAATAATTTTTTTATCATTTGTCTGGGAAGATGTAGTGAAAGGAGAAAAGTGACATGAAATTGAGAACAAAATATCACTGCAACACTGAACTTCTTCAGTAAAAGGAGGTATTTCCCTGTGTGAAATATAACAGATACTGAGGTACTCTTTGGAACATCAACACTTTTTTTGGTATTTACTCCTGAGACTGGAAATGAAAATGATCTTCAAAAGATAAGAACAAAATTAACCTGTGTGTCTTATCTAATGGAAGCTACCTGGATTTAACAGAGGTCATCTGAGACTACACAGTGTCACCTGAGGATGCTAAAGCCTTTAGCAGCTGCTCTTACACTACTGTAGTCAATGCAGCCCCATACTCTTATACCAGAAACTCCTTATTCTCTCCAGGAGACACTAATTAAATTAAGATGACACTTCCAGCCATCCTGACTTTAGTATCTGCTTCAGCAGTTCTACAACAAACAGCAGTAAAATAATCAGGTTCATCAA